ATTTTTAAATTTATAGATTAGTTCTTAAACTAATCTAAAAAGTTGAAGTTCTAAAACTAATATTGTAGTTCTTAAATAATATTGTTCTGACTCTGACTAACATTTTCATTCGCATTAATTGTTCAATCTTAACCAGAAGTTGTTATAAGTAAACAAAATAATTTCTATGGTGCATTTTATAAGAATTTGTTATTTATAATTATAATATTATCATGATCTATATGACATTTACTGCCTAAATATGAGTACCTCACAGAATATATAATTATAAATTTATAGTGCATAGTAAAATTTAATCTTTTTAAATATAAAAGTAAGTACATGTGCATATAGCTTCTTTCTTTGAAGTTGTAGAAGAGAAAAACTTAAAATTCTGTAAAAAAAGGATATTCCTTCTAAAAACCACTTTATTAACATTTAAATATTATGTGTATACAATCTTATATACACGTATAGAGTTTTACAAGAAGTATAACAAAAGAAAAGAAGAAAATCAAAAAATGACTGTGAATTTAATGAATCTGTGGAAAAGAAAAATTTATGAAAATTTCATAAGGCCCCCACATATATGCTTATTAACATTATAATAAATACATTTTGCGAACTTAAATATTTTGAAAGTCCTATATAATAATATTTATCCTGAAGCAACACTCCTTTTTTTTATTTTTATAAAGTATTACCACTTCAGTTAAGAAGAGAAACAGGATTATAAATTTTCTTTATTTTTGTATATGGCTACATATAGCTAGTTGCCGTAGTTGAAACTATTTTATTCCTTTTATATAATAATTTTTCTTCTTTCATCCTTAAATTTTCATTTTATAAAGAGTAAAATAGTTCCTTTTTTTTATTTTATGCTTTTTTAGTTTTTGGTATCAGAAGGCTTCTGATACGATAAATAGTATAATGATAATAAAATAAGGAAAATTATAATGAGGAAATTGCATTGTGAAAATTCTATATTAATACCAAGGGAATAATGTATGAAATTATATACATATATTTATATAATGTAAATAAACGTTCTTTGTCTTTGTGTGTTTAAAATATTATTTTATATTTAATATCATTCTATCTTTACAATATTATATGCATTGCAATACAACGTACATAAAGAAAAGTAAAATTTATATATTTATGATGATTTTGAAAAAAAGAATAAAATGATTTGAAGCAAACATTTGTGTACTAATTTAAAATAAATCTGATTTTAATAATTAAATATATAGATAATTGCATAGAGGTAAGCAAATATGCAACTATATGAAAGGTTTGTGCATGTGAATTATTTAAAATGGCTACAAAAATTTAAATTACAAGTTTAATTGTTTTTCAGATATTTTTCATATATTTATATAAATTTCAATTTAATTGTACTGTCTGTATACAGAAATGCAGTTTAAATGTGTGAACCATGAACAATAAACGTGCGAAATTTCTTGCCGCCCGATCAGGAAAATCTGTTTTATAAAATAGCAAAAAAAATAAAGCAACCGAAATAGGTTCTCTTATACAAACTTTTTATTTGGAAATCATTCCAACATTAGTTAATAATTTAAATTTTTAACATATGCAATTAATATCGAAATCTATCAACTGCAGAAGCATCACAATTAAATATTCTTGTGTGATAGCATACTTATAGGGGTGCAATAATAAATAAAACAGAAACATTATCACTATTTTCAAAAAAATAGTTTTCAAAAAAATATTTATTATTTTATACAATTTTTTTGTTCTTTCTGCTTTTCTTTTTGTTTTTTATAGTAATGCCATAATTTTTTAATAATAATCACTGAGACTGATAATAAATTTTTATTTGTTTATATGAACAAAACTTGCAAAGCGAACAGGTTAGGAATAAAGTACCTACATGCATATAATATGCATATTTTTAGGGTAAAACAAAAATATAAAATAAACACCTTACATTATCACAGTGTTGTGAATAACCTAAACATTATAGAGTAAAATAGATAACCAAAATAGAGAACGAAAATTGTTAATTTACATATTATTCCATTTCTCTTCTCTTCTATATACCTATGCAAGTATATATGGAAGTATTCACAATTACCATAGTTTTTTTTTTATAAATAAGAGGGAAAGAGCCAAGAGTGGTTAAGAGCCTTCGTTGTCATTTTAATATTATACAGTCAAGGGACTTTTTGCTTTTTTTTCTCTTAGTCCTTTTTTGTTTTTATTATTAAATTCATATTCTTTCTGCTTTTTTTTTTGTTTATTTTATTTGCTCTTAATTTTTTTTTGGTTTTTATTTTTTATCAAACAAGATAATAAAAACAACAAACAATATAAAAAAAAAGTGTTAATTGTGTGCAATTAAATTTAGTACACACTCATAGTACACAATCTTAATTTATATATATACATACATACATACATACTTATATCAAGGAATAAGTATATAAGCTTTAAGCAATTTTTCATTTAAACGAATATTTTGTATGCAGAATAATTAAGTGAAGCTACAGGATATTTGTTACAACAACAAATAAAGAGGAACGAATGAAAAATTAAAAGGATTTATTTAACTTTATTAAATTTTTTTTTTGTTTTTGCGATCATTTCTTACACCATTTGTTTTCTTTTTTCATATATTACATAATAATATACATACATACATATAGTCTATTTTAACAAATGTGAAAAATGTTAAAAAAAAGAATAAAAGAAAAAAATAATTTTTTCTGTTTTTTAAATTGGAATTTTAAATTTATGAATGTTTTGTTAATATGTTGCGGCAATATAGCAAGAATATAAAAAAAAATAAAAATGGAAAAGAGAAAAAAATATTGTTACAAAATGTTAAAAAGGTTAATAAAATTTTAAATGCTCAATTTTAATCTATTACCGTATAATAATATTGTAACATTTTTAATTAAATGTTTCCCTTTTTTTTGCTTAAAAGCAGCAAAACAAAGTACAGTGGTTACAAGCAAAACTGTCTATACTTAATTCGAATTTTCGAGTTGGTTAATTTGATGAACAAAATCGAATTTTCCGTAGTTATTTTTAATTTCGTCGAAATTTGTTAAAATAAATAACAATGTTGTATCTGTTAATAATATTTTGGCAGACTAAAATTGACATGAAAGGAGTTGGATAATATAAGACTAACAAAATGGAATGGGAGTGAGTTGGCTCAAAATAATAAGAAACAAGTAAAAACGTTTCAGTCGGTATAAACCGATTGAATTATACCCTGCACCTTTCGTTATTGTGTAGCAATTACTTGAACCTCTAAAATCATTTTATAGAAACTTCACGGACATGTCTGACCTATAATTGGACATCCGACTGCCAAGTTTCATGAATCTGACCTTATAATTTTTCCAAATATTTAAAATTAGCTTTTGGAGTTGTATGGTAAGTACCTGAACCTGCCAAGCAATTCCACCAAAACTTCACAAATATATCTGATCTATAATCGGACACACAACTGCCAAGTTTCATGAATCTGACTTTATTATTTTTCCAAATATTAAGAATAAGCTTTTAGACCTGTATGGGATCTACTTGAACCTGTTAAGCAATTCCACCAAAACTTCAGAAATATATGTGACCTATTACTCAACATACAACTGCCAAGTTTCATTAATCTGACTTTATTATTTTTCCAAATATTAAGAATAAGCTTTTAGACTTGCATGGGAGCTACTCGAACCTGTCAAGCAATCGCACCAAAACTTTAGAAATATGTCGGACCTATAATTGGACACACGACTGCCAAGTCTCATGAATTTGACTTTATTATTTTTCCAAATATTTAAAATAAGCTTTTAGACTTGTATGGGAGCTACTCGAACCTGTCGAGCAATTCCACCAAAACTTCAAAAATATATTTGAGCCATAATTGGACACATGATTGCCAAGTTTCATGAATCTGACTTTATTATTTTTCCAAATATTTAAAATTAGCTTCTGGAGTTGTATGGCAGGTACCCGAACCTGTCAAGCGATTCCTCTAAAACTTCAGAAATATATTTGACATATAATTGGACACATGACTGCCAAGTTTCATGAATCTGACTTTATTATTTTGCCGAATATAAAAAATTTGCCGTTGGAGTTGTATGGCAGCCACCCGAACCGGTGCAGCTATCCCATTATAATTTTTAGAGCATGTGCAAAATATAATTGGACACATGTATACAAAATTTTATATTTATAGCTTTATTAGTTTTTGAAATATTTAAAATAAACTCTTTGAGTTGTATGGCAGCTACCCGAACCCGTTGTCCGAATTAGTCCAATAACAATAGGGCTCGTCCTTGGCACAAAAGAAAAAACTTGTGAAAGTTTGGTGTCGATTGCATTATTCGTTTTTGAGTTATCGTGCGATCGGACGGACGGACGGACGGACGGACGGACAGACGGACATGTCTAAATCGACTCAGAATTTTACGCTGAGCAAGAATATATATATATGTCCATACCGCAGATGACTCCTTCAAGTAGTTACAAACTCCATACCAAAGTTAATATACCCTTCACGAAGTGCAGGGTATAAAAAGGGATTATTTTGAAGTATTGTTGTTTAAAAAAGTTCGAAAAAAATTTGTAGAAATTTTCTACGCCGCATAATCATATTTATGGTGAATTTTTTAAAGATCCTAGTAAGATCTTTTGCGGGAGATATCTGGTCCTTAGCAGATCTATCTTACACATTTTCAATATTGATTTGCGTGCAAAAAAAATATGGATGTGCGAGAGATTTCAAGCCTATACAACAGATTTACAAATTGTTATACACGTTCACTAAACTGTTATACTTAAAAATTTGTTGTGGCAAGTTTTATAATGAAGTTCAAAAGGAATCATATACAATATTCATTGAGTATATAATCCCACACGTATTGACGCGTATAACAATTTTCATTCGCATTTTCAATTAATATAAAAAAACCTGAATTTTAAATTATTTAACTTTATCAAATTTAATTAATTTAGTGTTTTTATTTTGGGTTTCAACTCACCTGGTCCAATAAATAATATCAGAACAGTTAATGGCAATAATACAACAAGGGTAGTTAATAGTAGACAACTTCTTCGCCGTAATGGCGAAGGTGTCAACCCCATTCTTTTCAGTTTAATTATCTGTAAATAAATAAAATATAGAAATTAATTAAAAAGAAAAATATTAATAATTTTAATTTTTAATAAATTTTTGTTATTACCCAATATAAATCATTCGAAAATATTAATACATTTAAACATTTTTATTATTACATAATTGTTGTAGTTAACATTAATTGTTGTAGTCATTTTGAATTTTAATTTTTGTATTTGGACAATATGCATATCTACATATGAGAATACTAAAATAATATTTCATTTATGGGGTTCCACGCACAATAAATTATTAAATAATTTTTTTAATAAATTTCAAAATATGCAAATTAAAAAGTATATTTGTATCTTTATGCATTTTTAATTTTATTTTGAATTCAAGTACATTAGTGAGTGTCATGGTGAGTACGTGTAAAAAAAATTGTAAACACTTTTGTTATTAAAATTTATTCATAAAAACTTCATTAAAAATTTATTAGCCTTTTTTTTCGTATAAAATTTTATTTGTAAATTAATCCGTAATATTTTGAAATTTTTAAGTGCTACTAATAAAGTTTTCTTTTTTTTGATTTTATATTGCAATAATGGTCATTACTTACCTTGAACATGACTTTCATAAACCAATAATTTTATGTCCAGTGAAAATTTACATTTCAAATTTCACAAATTCATATTTTTTTATATATGCATTAAAAATTCCAATTCAAAGTTTTCAAATTCTGCAAATTAAGTTTATTATTACAACACCATCAGTTTATACCGCTTTTTATGCATGTATATTGGAAATTATTTAATAAATAAATACAAATTTTTCATACAATTTTCAATATGACCATTAAAAATTTTAAATATTTTGTCAACTAAAACTATTCGTGGAATAATAATTAAAGTAATTAATTTTCGTGTCAAGATGATTTTAACATGGATGACTTTTGAATCACAAATAAAATTTACTGATTCTCAATAGACAGAGAGTAAATTAAGACCTAATTTCAACTAACGAGTTATAAAACATAGATGGATGCTAAAAACTACTTAAATTTTGCTTTGAGATATTGGAATATAGACTCTAATAGAGTCGTTAGAGATGCTAGACCCAAAAAAGCTTTGTCGGTAAAAGGAAATTATCTCAGATTTTAAACGTAAAAATTCTAATTTAGTTTAACATTTGGAGCTAATAAAGAGTTAAATTGTTTTTATTTCAAATTTTTGCCTTAAAAATATGGCAATTTCCTTTAGTCGGGTCAGGTACGAATATTTCCGATAAATTATTCAATATTTATCTTTAACCGGTGATTTTTTTATCTGTTACTGGTGATATTAGATGTAGTCAAAAATTTTCATTTAGAATAAAGTTGAATTATTTGAGTTGAGGTGTTGATTTTGAAAGTTTGTCGTGAGAGCGAATCCAGCATTATTTTATTCCATTTACACAAATATTGAAAATTATTCAATATTTTCATTAGAATGGTTCAGTGGGTGCATTTAAAGTTTCAGCTTTCCGTTTGTCAATAAGACCCCCATATTTGTTTATTTTTCCATATATATATTTGCAATATTCATAGTCATATTATAAAAGTATAAAATTTATAACACTACTATAATTAAATCAATTAATTTAAACTATAATAACTTTTATATTACAACCAGCTAATTTGTGAAAATTTTGCACATTTGAAAGAAAAACAAACATTATTTTTAACCCTTTAATTTTTTATTATTATTTTTTATAAATACTTTATACGTTATTATGATCGATTACAATAATTACTCAATTTATATAGAATTTACATAAATAACGAGTTTAGATTTAACAAAAAAAAATCACTATTTATATAGATAACTACTTCAGTTTATATCTAGTGTCAATTATTTACTAATTTAAACAAATACAAAATATAATGAAAAACATGTATGTATGTATATGTATGTAGATATGTAAATAGTAATATGTAGCTCATAATTGAAAATTGAATAGCAAATAAAACATTTTTCATTGTGTTAATTTATTTGAATGAATTGCTATATTTTGAATTGTATTATTATTTAATTTTTACGTTCATCATATACTATGCTAATTATGACACGATGCAAGATGAAGAGTTATAAAATTTAACATAATTGAGAATATAAAATTTAAAGTAGTATTTGAATTAAAAATTTCAAATTTATGGTGAGCTTGAATATGTATACAGAGTGGTACAACAGGAAATTTTCAAAAAAGTGTACAACAACATATACTATTGCATAGTGGGTCGAAAATAAATGAAACTTTTGTTTCGGACTAGGTGTGAAATCTCAATGGTTTCCGAGTTTCACTTGCATTTTAACGAATTTGCACTAAATTTGTACTTATCCAAATTTTTTTTAATTATATTTTCCGTTCCAAAAAAGATAGAAGCTTCAAACAAACAGTTTCTAAACGGTCTTGTAAAGAGCTTAAAATCAAGACGTGACTTGATTTTGTATTTCATGTACTTTCGGAATGCTAACTAACCTTTTCGGCCTAGATTTAATTTTGTCTCATAATTCTGCTAAGGAACATAGGGCTTCAACATAGCCTCTCCAATTTTCTCTACTTTGTGCCAAACTCTTCATTTGTGTCTATGTTTTTTCCTGATTTATCTATTTCTTTTATGTTGCGAAAAGTAAATATAAATTACCGCATATCCTATAATAGAGAGAATGTTATCAAAAATTTTTATTTTATTTTTTCTCTTTTTGTTTTATTTTTGTAAATATTAAATTTTTCCGATTTTTTTTTTTTTTTTTTATTTATAACTCCATAAAGCTTTGATCGTGATTGAATAATTTGCAGTTTTTAATTAAAAGAAAAAAATATTTATTGGAAATTTATTTGTATGATTGTAAAAGTATTTTACACACAAAAGCAAATGATGGAATATTTTATGAAGATATAGGCAATTTAATACATACTTTATTTTATCAATCGCATTTGCAAGTAATATGGGAGGTATTGTGATAACATCAAGTATTTACGAGAAAAGAAAAGTGCAAAAGAGAATAATTTAAATGAGCTGTTCAGCTAAAACTTTTTTCTAAATTTTATATTGAGCCATTGTTCGTTGAACTGACTAATAAATTTTTTTTTTATTAAAATAAATCAACCTCTAAAAGAATACTACATATTTCACCTTTCTGATCATATCCAAAATTAATGAATTTTTTTAGAAACCTATTTTGGATAGCAGTTTTCTAATTTTCTTATAACATTCTCATTCCTTGAAAATACAAGTTACAATTAATTCAAATATTATTCGGCGAATTACATGTGATATATGAGGTCGGTAATATTGTGTTCAAATCAAATTTCCTTTTTTATTGTAATTAAAAAAGAAGCAATCAAAAACGTAACAAAAAGCGAAGAGTTGTTCAATTAAAATTTTTATAATAATTTGTAAAGTTAAAGCAATAAAAAAAAAATCAATTTTTTAATGAAATCAGAATTTAATAAAAAATTGCGCTTAAAATGTACAAAATTTACAAAAAAAAAAGTACAACAGAAATCTTATATTTTAATAAGGTAAATAGCGTAAATCTAGCACTTAAGTTGAATGCATCTTAAATGACAAACAGAAAAATGTTTTCAGAATATTATACTTATAGATTTATTGGGGTGCTAAATAGAACGTTTTTTATATATGTAATTATTTAATTGACGCTGTTTTTTTGCCAACAAGGAATTCTCCTTTATTATAGTTGAAATTTTTTTATTATATCATGAATTTTTATCTGTTGATTAACCTATTTTCAATTTTTAATTTGAAAAATTTTTATTTTAATTATAACTTGAAATAATGTATTAGAAAGTATTAATGTGAGTGACTTTGAATTGTTCAGTCAGATTTTTAGTAGAAAATTAATAAGACGAAATTAAATAATACGAGAATCAATTTTATTTAGAGTTTTGAGAGCAATTAGATGATTTATGTGTTGCTCTTTCTTAATTAATAAATATCCTTTAAAAGGCATTTTAATGGCACAAAAGAAAACTAAATAATTTTCTTACTTATTTTTAAGAAAATTTATTTAAGACTAAAATAGTTACGATGCGAGCTTAATTAAACATAATGCAGTTTGAAATCTTAACAATGAGAAGAGTAGAAGAGTTTAAAGTCTAAATGATTGAGAATGAGAAAGAATAATGTTCTCTTCAAGTTTAATTCAATTATAATTTGTTCACTTGTATACATGCAACACGTATTAAACTTATTTAAATTGTTTGAGTTTCGTTCAATTGATACATTCATATACATACCACAAATATGCAAATTTTGTTTTTATACACGTACATAATATGTACATTTAAATATATATTATATAATATGTATGTATTTATATTTTTAAAATAATATATAAAAAAAAAATCAAAAAAATTTCATAAAATTAATAAATTTTTACGGCAAATAAATGCTCAATTTGGTGTATAAAATTAATTTTAATGGTGTATTACACATATTCATATATATTATGTTATATGTATGTATATATATAGAGCAATTATATGAAATGTACATGAATTATTTTTTATGTAAATACTTATTTTCCACATGAAAATTTAATCTTAATAAAAAATCATGTTTTTCTCTTCAACTATATTAAATATATTTTTTTTTAGTATATATTGAGGTATTCGAGAGTACAGAAATTCATACATATAAATATATTTTTAAAAAAATATAATCCATAAATTTCCTATATATTTCTATGTACAGGGTGTATCGTTTGAAATTGCTTATGATTACATATAACAGGTTTCTCTTTTAAAGAACTTTAATTTTGGCAATAACTGCCTAACTTTAAACGGTAGGAAAAGTGCCTACATTAGAGCACACTGAATTATTATGTCACATTAAAAATTAACTGTTTTAAAAATAAAATTTAAAAATTCAAATTTTTTCAGAAGAGATCACAATTAAAGCCGTTGTTCTAAGCTTTTCAAATCATATATTTATTCACTTACCCTATTCATTTACGAATGGAATTATACTTAAAATTTCAAAAAA